ATATATGCACACCACTCCACTTCGGCCTGCCAAGACCTTGAATCAGTTGACAAGAACACGGCACATTTGCTCACATACTCGGCTTAAAGCCTCTGTGAAATGCATCTGTAAATTCCAACTTCTGAATTCTAGAAAGACGTGTTGTCACATAGGAGAACTGAGATAACAGGCTTAATCTTACTGTTCTTGAGCTGCAGGAACAGAGAAACAAGTCTACTCACTTGTCACTGACTTGACTGAATATGCTAGAAGAGTTAGTAATCTGATGACAGGAGTTAAGCACTGTTAGAAAACAACCACTTCAAGAACAGAGTTAATCACTAGCAAGTTCAGACAGGTTATTCCCAATGAGGGCATGATGCTTATCATTTACCCCAGATACCTCATTTCTCCTAATTTTCTCACCAGCATTTGCTCTTCTGTGCTCTCCCAAACTCACTCCTTTGGGAAAGTTTAATCAACACAGTTTGGACTACTCATTCTCCATAATATGATGGACTTGTAGCTAGTTCTTGGATTGGGCTTTCACCTCTAGAGGCACGAAGAAGCTCCCTGAACTTACTTGTCTTTATTATGTACTAGAACAAATGTCAATATCAAGTGATTTACTGGGCTTATCTCTACTTCAGCAAGCCATCTGCCTTCTTATTTTGTCTCAACATTTTCCACTTCTGGGGGTAAGCAAGGCTTTGATATATCATTAGCTTACTTGGAACAGCTGTCCGGTTCAATATCCTCATCACGACCATCATCAATCTTTACTGTGGGCTCTTCTGCTGCTGGAGAGCTGGCAATGGGACAAGGTAAGTCACATACTGATACAGATGTCAACTTTATACATTGCTACCCTTTGTTGTTCCAGAGAAAATAACATTACCTATCAGCCGAGCAGTGAACAGCAGCCTGGGCCAGAGCACAGGCACAGTACCAGGGGAGGAAAGACTTCCCATACATCGGCGCAGCAGAACCCCTTGGCTTGTGCTGACCTAGTTCCTGTCAGCAATCCACCTCTCAAAAGTTTTTTTTGGGGGAGGAAGGGAACAGATGTGTTCAGCAACAGGACAAAAGGCTTTGAAGTAGGGCATCCAAGAGTCCACTGAGGACTTAACAGTCCAGTCCAGACTCTGGAAGTGCTGGAAACATATGTATGCAAAATTGCCTCAGAGAGTGCAAATGACATTAACGCTATTACAGTAAACTACTTGTTCAGAGAACGAATGTTTCCACCAGGAAAAGCCATAGCACAGAGATGTTTTTGTGCAGAGCAGGATACCAGACCGGAAACTGGAAGACCAGAGCAGCAGCAGCTGAGCTAGTGCTGGAACAGCATATTTTGGGGGTAGTGGCTGCCTGCCATCACTTCCTTAAAAGGGTCTCTTTAGATCAAGTTTTTTTTCAGCCACCTGAGAAGCTCTGAAGGCCACATGACGACTTCAGAGAAAAAGTGTAATACCCAAATCCAGGAGTTTCTAATTAAGCCTGCTCCACAGAAATACTGTGCTGCGTAAGAGCACAACCACAGTGTTTGCTGTGGCTCTGCCTCTGGCATCATTGCTTCTTGGGCAGGAGCAACGACATACAAATAGTCAATATTGATGTTTCCATGCTGTTCTGAGGCAATAGAGCATGCCTGAAGTATTAGTGTAACAGAGGACCCATGTATTCTTCATCCTCCACAATGGACCCATGCACCAGCACTGCCGGCTAAACCCCTTTTTAAGCAAAACATTTAATGATACGTTTCCTACGGTTTCAGCAACCAATACGGATGGTTCGCCACCTGCACTCAGTACCAGCCTGAAGAGAGGAATGATTCCACACCCCACCAACAACTGTGGCATTTAAGGCTAATTTTCCAGCTCCAGTATCTTCATTTTGTTCCCAGAACTGAAGCGAAGCTCTGTTGGTGTATGGCCACTCAACTTTACTGCCCAGCTATTCTTACGGTATATTCACTTAGGAGTTTCCACTTAATGTGCAGCTGAAATGCTTCACTCATTAAAACAGGTTGCTGCTGCCACAGCAATTTTGCTGCAGGTCACTTGCTTATACTTGTAGACACATGAAGTGCACCAAATGCCACCTTCTTATCCTCTACTGTGATTAAAATAAGCCAAAATAAGAACGAGCAACAGCAGTGTTTTGGGTTAGGAAGCCAATCTTCAACACAAAAAGAAAACAGAAGCCAAGCCTGAGTACACTGTTTCCACTGTGCTCTCACACAAAAATTCAGTTCTAGATAATGCTTTCCTCAGAGGGAGTTTGTTTTGCTGAGCACTCTACATCTACTTGTTGTCCAAGCTGGAACAAACTCTCAGTCACAAGCTACCACATCTAGTCTTTGACTACTGAAATGGAAAAGAAGAAAATGAGAATATACTAGAAGAACTTATTTCCTCCCCACACACACTCTCCACACAGAGCATAAACTTTTCTGACTGCTCACAGCTAAAGGGAACTTCAGAATTGAGGCTTTTAAGGAGAACGGAGCAAGAGCATCTTGCTCAACAAGAGACCTTGCCAGTGTTTCTGGATGCTAAAAGAAAGCAGGATTTACTGCCATGAGCTTATTATACCAGAGCTGGGTGCTCTATACTTCTTAATTAGTTCTTAACTGCTTGCAAGAAGTCAATCAAGACAGCATATTGCTCTCAAAGATACCACTCCTCTCAGACAACAGCATTTTAAGGGAGAAATACAAAGTCTATATGCTATACAGGCTTCAAGCGCTCTATCATTACTCTCCTTGTTATATTTAAAGCACTAAGAAACTCTACACCGGGGACCACACGCAGCATATTTCAATCCCAAACCCATGCAACGGCGCAGTTCATTTCACTCACCTGGATGATTCTGTCAGCTCAGCCCCTTGTTCATACCTCACAGTTGTCATTTTGCCCAGTGTTGCTCTGCTGATCTTAAGAGAAGCACATCTAATTAATGAGATATGAGTACAAAAAAAAAAAAAAAAAGAAAAGAAAAATACACTAGTGAATACCAGCATCCTCGAGCAGCCTCAGACTTCTGTTACCAGCGGACAAGCTTCTGCTTAATTCTCTGTTACCTCCCTCTGCCCCTCCACAGCTGACAGAGGACAGTCTTTATAAGGCTCGTGAGAGCCAGCACGCCCCGCAGCACGGCGGGTTTTTTTTACTATATCCAATACGCCACCGCAGCAATAAAGCGGCACCTTTACCTCACGGCGAAGCGCAGGAGGGGCCGCGGGGACCGGCGGGGAGCTGCCGGCGCCCCTCGGCTCCTCGGCGGGGAGGCCCGCGCCTCCGCTCCCCCAGCGCGGCCTCACCGCCCCGGGCGGGGGAACCGGCTCCCTCCGCGGCCGGCGCGGCCCCGCCAGCAGCCTCGCCGCTGCCCCGGGGAGGCGCCAAGCCGCCGGGACCCCTTCCCGCCGCGGGTCCCTCAGCCCCGGCGCCCGGCGGCCCCCCCACACGCGGCCCCGGGGAGCGCGGCACAGGGCCCGCGGTGCCCCCCCCCCCCCCCCCGCCCCTCACCTCAGCGCGGCCGCCCGCCACGCTCGAAGCCGAACCCCAGGCACCCGCCCCCCGCGCGCCGCAGGCTCGGCGGAAAGGTGCGTTCGGCTCCCTGAGGGCTGTTCTAACCGACACCCCCCCGCACACACACAGACACACGCACAGACAGACACACGCACAGACAGACACACGCACAGACAGACACACGCACAGACAGACACACGCACAGGCACAGACAGACACACGCACAGGCACAGACAGGCACACGCACAGGCACAGGCACACACGCACAGGCACAGGCACACACGCACAGGCACACACGCACAGGCACAGGCACACACGCACAGGCACAGGCACCCCCTCCCCGCACACACACCCCCTCCCCACACACACACACACACACACACACACCCACACACACACACACCCACACACACACACACACACCCACCCACCCACCCACCCACCCCCACCCACCCACCCACCCACCCCCACTCCCCACTCCCCACTCCCCACTCCCCACTCCCCACTCCCCACTCCCCACTCCCCACTCCCCACTCCCCACCCCCCCCCGGCCGCAGAGCCCCGCTCGCTCACCCGCCCAAACCGCACCGAGGCACAAACCCACCGCGGCCCGCGGTTAAATGGCCCGGCGGCGCCTCACCGGGGCCGCCCCCGCCCGGCCCCCCCGCGCTCACACCGGCCCCGGCCGGGCCCGCCGCCCTCCGCCGGAGCTCCGGCCGTTCGGGGCTGGTCCCCTCCGCTCCCGCCGCGCTTTCGGTGCCCTTCAGCGCATCTCCCGTGGCACGGCGGCTGCCGGGGGCTGCGGTGGGGCCGGGGTTGGTCCGCGGGGGGGCTGTGGGGCTGTGGGGCACGGCGGCTGCCCGCCCCCCGGGGCCCAGAAGCGCGGCACGGAGCGCTCAGGTTTTACCGGGCGCCGGATGTTTTTGCAGAATCGGAATCCCGCAGGGCTGGAAACGGCGCGTGACGCGGCCCGGAGCAGCAGCCCCGCACGGCGGAGCGGGGCCGGGGCCGGGGCCGGGGCCGCGGGGGGGGTGTGTGTGTGTGTCTGCGGGGGGGGGTGGTTCTGGGGGGGGGTGTGTTCTGCGGGGGGGGGAGATGTTCTGCGGGGGGGGTGTGTGTGTTCTGCGGGGGGGGGGTGTGTTCTGCGGGGGGGGGGGGTTCTGCGGGGGGGGATGTGTGTCTGCGGGGGGGGGGTGCTCTGCGGGGGGGGGGGGTGTGTGTCTGCGGGGGGGTGGTTCTGCGGGGGGGGGTGCTCTGCGGGGGGGGGTGTGTGTGTATGCGGGTGGGGTTCTGCGGGGGGGGTCTGCGGGGTGGGGGGATGTTCTGCGGGGTGGGGTGGGTTCTGCGGGGGGGGGTGGGTTCTGCGGGGGGGGGGGATGTTCTGCGGGGGGGGTGTGTATGCGGGGGGAGGGGGCTGTTCTGCGGGGCGGCCGGCAGCAGAGGGAGCTCAAAGCGAGCTGCTCTTCGGGGGCTGCTCCCGGGGGGCTGCTCCCGGGGCTGCCGGAGCTCGGCGTTAACCGGTGGCAGGAGCCTTTCCCGACGCCTCTCACCCAAGAGAAAGAAAATCTTTAAGTGGAATGCCAAGACTAGGGAGCTTTTCTGGGCAGCAGACTGAATGAAAAGTTTCCCTTTCAAACATGTCATATATGTAAATACATGTACAGAGAGGGGTAGCGAGTAATGAGCTATCTTTGGTGTATTCAGATAATTCCGCAGTCGAGGAACAGCTAAAGATGGGTAGAAACTAAGCTGGATGATAGAAGAAACATTCAATTAATTTGCTCTTAGTTCTGGGGAAAAAAAAAAAAAAGAAAAAAAGCTTACATGTGCAGGTTATTTAGTACAGGCTTGATCCTGTGGCCCATGCGAGTATCGTGGGAGTTGCTCTCACCAGGTGCGTGTGCCCGTGGAGCACCCTCCTGGGGAGGGGGCCGCACGGGAGAAGAGGGTAGAAACAGAGAAGTCTGGTTTTGCCCGTCCTGGGGTCTGAAGGCACCAAGGTGTGAAGGCGGTTTGGGTATTAAAGTGGACTTTTTTCGCAGAACAACCCGTAACAAGCAAAGGACAGGCTGGAGGCGGGAGGCTCCCGCGTTGGCGCTCGGACTGAATGCCAGGGCTGCAAATGAGCCAGCTTGCTAGAGGCTGGAGATGAACTGAAAAAGGAAAAACGGGTCTTCCCGTGTTTCACCAAATACGTACACACTGCGTTGCCAGTGATAACACCGGTAACTGTTCCCTTCTGTGTTGCTAATCTTACCGCACTGGTGATGCTGTAGAAGATTTGCCAGCTCTCATGCGTCATCGTGAGTTGCCTGGTGGCTGATATATTTTCTTAAAACCCTAGCTTCTGGACTCGGATGGCTCAAATAAAAACGCCACCTTTTTTTATTAATAAAATCAAATTTCTAGCTCTCCGCTGGTGGAAAAAAGCGTAGGAACAAGATCCAAGGTTAATAAAGCTAAAAATAAAAAAGAAGCATTGAAAATATTCCGTTTTTTTAATTCAAGACTTGTAAATAATTTTCATTGTATTTTGCTGGTTAACTCATTATACTGACATTTAAAAACCCCTCCGAATCCAGGTCTGATCCCTTAACAATTATTCATCAGTGTAAAAGGGCGGAACTCTCAACAAAATGCAGAAAAGATTGAAATGTTCAGTAAATAATCCAGCTACATACTAGGCAGAGCACAGGATGGAGTATGCATATCTCAGAGGGGTGATGACATACTTTGCATTCCAAAAATAACAGAGAGGGTGGTAAACAGAATCTCTTAACTTGACAGATTTTAATATCCGTAGGTATGGCTCATTTATATCTGATACTCTTAAGAGAGACGGCCAAGAAAAATAATTTTATTAAGTCTTGGGATAGCAGAAATATGGAGATAATTGGGGGAAAAAAAATATCAGTTCTCTGCCAATTTTAGAAGCAGGTAGATCAGACGACCTGATGATGATAGATCTGTCAGTTTGGCTTTGCTCCCAGATGGAATGAGAGCAGAGTAGATAGAGGTTTCGACTAATAAAGTATTAAAGAAGCCTAGTGATGATGATGATGATGATAATAATAATAATAAATACCAATCAACATGTGATTATGAAAAGTGATTCCTGTCGAACTAATTTATATTTCTAAAAGAAGATCACAAGTTTTACTGATAAGATAAAAGTATTTTGTTGCTTCTCTAAGTGACTGTCTGGCTAGAAAATCACTTTGATTAAAAAGGTAGAAGAATGTGAACCCAATCTGGTTCGCATTGGGAAAAATCCAGCACACTTATCTTAAAATAACTAAAAGGGGAACCATCCTTGAGCAATTCCTTTCAAGAAGGGTTCTGCAGGCATTGGGTGCTGCCTTAAACCGCTTGATGTGTTGTTTTGTTTTCAACCATGTTTAAGCCATGCCCCTGGTAAGATCCCGAGGGACGAAGTTCGCAGCTGACGCGGCGGTTGGAAAAGTGGTCGGACAGGAGGAGAACGGCTGGCTAGCACCGAGCAAACTGTGGCACCTGGTAAGTTCAGCCGAGCGAGCCGCGTGCTTTTCCAGACACCCGCTGCCAGTATCGGAACAACGGGCCTCGGGGTAGTGCTTTTCAGCCCTCGGTACCTGAAGGACCATGCAACAACTTTTTTAAAAAAATCCTTGGTCCGCTTACAGTCCCACTAGCTGTCACTGCAAGACACCTGCCACCTGCATGGCCCGCGTGTGTACGTGTCAAAAAGCTTGCCAGCATCTCTGGACTAACTTTTCGTGTGTTGTGAATCACATGAATTTCGTGTGTTGTGAATCACATGAATTTCGTGTGTTGTGAATCCTGCCTGCAGGGAGTAACGCCGTGGCGGGTCAGACTTGGAGCATCAGTGACTGCATTATGAAAACGGGTAACTGAAAAATCCTGGGGTAGGCATAGGGAGTGACCAGCCACAGGTGACCGTAGCTCTGTTGGCAAAAGGTACAACAAGGATCCACAAACAGGAAGGCTGTTGGGCTGGACGTCTTGCTTGAGCCCTTTACTTGGCTCCCGTGTGCTCTCAGGTCTCCAGTCTCGATAACCACAACTCCAGAAGGAGGAGGGAAGGGCCCTGACGTGAGCAAAAGGCTGTGAAGTGCCCTCATCCCACTGGGGTCACGGAGCTCAAAGCTGCCCATCTTCTGAAAGGAAAGACAAGTGACTGAATCGCAGTTGGCCAGGGCTGGATCTGGAAAAAGGTCTAGGTGCCCAAAAAGGGGTGTAAGAAGACTTAAAGTTTCAAAATTTAGATCTAGAAAGGTTCGGCAACTGCCTAACCCTAGAGGCAATTGAATTGATAGGGCACCTCTCCGTTGGGTGGCAGGGATCCCCCCCGGAACCTTCCGTTCTGCTCCTGTGCGTGCCCTGGACTGTCCTGGCCACGTATCTCTGCTGCTTGCCCCTGCCCGGGGCCGATCAGGACCCTGAATCCGGGCCGAGGCGTTCCGCAGTCCCTAGAGCCCCTCAACAAAAGCCGAGCGAGACCACCCCCAGCACACGAAACCACCCCGGCAGCAAACTTCTTCCTGCCCTTCCTCCCTCCCCAGGCCAGCCCAGTGCCGTGCCCCGCAGCGCGCTTCCCTCGGGACGTGCCCGTGCCACGGTGCCCAGCCTCCCCCCAGCACAAGCCCTGCGCCACCCCTGGCTCCAGGACCCTCCTGGCTTTCCCCCAGCACCTACGCCCGCAGCCGCAGGAGGTAACGGGGGGTTTGGGGGTCCAGCCAGAGGCAGGCACACGGCTTGTACGTACCCGGACCCGGCCTTGAGAAGGGCAAAATACATTCGGCAGCAGAGGGCCCTTCCCCATCACAGAGTCAGGCATCGTGAGATGAAAAGGCTGCAGGATGAGGTTCAGCAGAGTCAGACCCGGGGCGAAAAGCTGCAATAATTAACAGTGCGGGTTAGTAAGTGGTGGAAGAGCACGCTAAGTTCTGTGGCTGGTTCACCAGCACTGAATATTTTACACCAAAATGTCTCTTCCTCAAAGAGATGCTCCCGTTCAAATGGGATTGAATGAGGTCAGGGGAGTTCTCTGACCTGAGGTAGGTAGAAGATCACGCAGATAACCCACATATTCCCTCTGGCCTTGTGACTAATTCCCTTTGGTACAACTACTCCTGATGTAAGTGAGATCACTCGGATCTGTGCTTGCCTTCGGGAACTTATAAACTAATTATGTTTGTTGTGTCAACCCATCAGATACTCATAGGCTGCATGCAGACTCGTTCGTTAGACTGAATTATGTCTTTGCTCTTTGAACGTTATCAAAATATTCAGATCTAGCATGTTTCATGGTTTGCCACCATTACTCCTTCTTTGTACACAGATTTCTGTGGTTATTCCTTGCTAACAAACCACAGGCTTTTAATGCACATATGATGGTTTCGGTTATTTCGTAGATAGAAACTATGTGGCTGATGTCATCCCGATCTTTTAAATTTATCTTACTTTTGATGAAACCCTTTATTGCTAGATTAAAAAAAAAAAAAAAAAAGTTTCAGATCTCATATATTAACTTAGTTTTAAAAGACCTGGCAGCCCAGATTCCTCCAGAAGATGTAGAGCAGCTCACACATCAGGAGCCTGCAGGCTCCGGGTACCTCCACACCTGCAGTGCCTGCACAGGAGCCTGGTCCCCGGCTTCTCCCAGTGAGCGGGGCATTCATGGAAGGTGGGATCTGATAGGGAAGTATGAAAATAATGGCAAATTCATAAAGCGCCTGGTTTCAGTGCAAAAGAGCTGTTTTGGTTGGAGTTGGCTCCCGACTACTCTGAATTTTCCTAGGGCACGGGAAAGCAGTCAGACTCTTGCTGTGAAAACCTCAGGTCTCTGCACCTCCTCTGGAGCCCACCTCATTTCTTCCTTTCCCCCTTTAAGAACAAAGAAACGAGAAGGAACTGGTCTTGGAAGAGTTTTGAGGTGCCACCACTGCCTTCCAGCTGCAGTGACGTTCTGTTGGGCTCCGGGGGAGTGAATGTCCATCGGGCATCATCTTCATCTCTTCAGCCCAAGCCACCCCCAAGCCGTTCTTCCTGGGGGCAGCCCCGTGCCCCATGACTGGAGGAACAGCAAGAGCTGCCCCGGAGTCACTCTCTTCATTCCTGTTTATCCACCGGTTTGCATTCTTCCTCTGCTGGCTGTGCGTTTAATCTGTGAATAATCGTTTTTTTATGACTGTTATTCAGCACCTATGTACTTTTGCTGGAAGGAGGGTGGAGGAGAGCAGGGTGGGGAGGTTTTCAGTTAACGAAACTGTTATTATTTGCTGACAAGATCAGTGAGTATCTCAGGAAGAGGGAATTTGATCTCCTTCCAAGTAACTAAACAGGAATTTGCACTGCAGAATAAGTGTGAATATGTGTATTCCAGGGAAAAAAAAAAAAAAAAAAAAAAAAAAAAAAAAGAGCATTTGCAGTTGCATTTCCTAGGGATTTCAACATCTGTGAGAAAAAACATCAGTGACCACACAGTGTCCACATTCTCTATGACGACTCGATTATTTTAGCTCCGGGCCAGCGGAGCAGTACATGAACACACCCTCCTGCTAGACCTACTTCACGTGAACTCCACCACCTGGCAGCCCCTCTCCGGCGCTTCAGATATTCCTGAAGCTTCATCCAGCCTGGGGAAGGTAAGTTCATCGCGAAGCGGGTACGCAGGAGACACGTTCCAGCTGACTGGGCTTCTCACAGGCCGACGCTGGTGAGGCTCGTGCTGGTGGAGTCCTGGAGAGCGAGCGAGAGAGCTCCAGACGTCCTGGATGTTTGGGGGGGGGGGGGGGTGTCCCTCAAGGAGGGTTGGAGTTGGGAGTCCTGTTCCTGCAAAGCTGCAGCCACATAACAGCATACAGACGAGTCCCACCGGGACCGCAGCTCCGCCGCCCCCTCCTACATGGCCGGGGGGGGGGGGGGGGGGGATGTTTTGCCGTCTAGGCAAGAGCGTAAATTGGAGTGCGGCATCTCAAGCGTTGGCTGGCCGGCCTCAACCGAGCAGGAGGTGCGGGTGGAAGCCCCAGGGGATGGCGAGCAGCCCCCCCTGCTCTCACAGGCGAGGCACCCCAGCTGTCAGCTGCAGCTGCTGGCCAAAGGGACAGAAGGAAGGGCTCAGAAAGGCTGAGAAAAGAAAGGGCTGGAAAGGAGAGGAGACGTTTCACTCATGTAATTCCCCAGTTGCCCAAACCAGCCTCAAACAGGGGGTAGGGAACAAGTGGGAAGGGAAGCGCTGTTTACATAATCCTTTGGCAGTGAAATGGGTCAGCCGTTCTTGCGGGAGAAGAGGAATGCAGTTTTTATGAAATAAACAGCATCGCTGTACTTGATAATGGCTGGACAGTCCTGCTTCCTTGGAGAGTAACACAGAAGTTTACTATGGGCTTGTACTCCTCGTCTCTTGTCCCCACGGTCTCTCCTCTGAACACAGCTCTCTAAAATGGACTACTCCTGCTGTTTTCTTTAAAATAATCTGTAATTCCTTGGCCATAACACAAAGGGAGGCACCCATCTGTTTGTTTGGGTTTGTTTTTTTTTTTTTTTCTCTCTTCCACAAATGTCCTTGTTTGTGTTAACTAGCAAATCTAATCATCCAGCTCGGAGGAGAGTTACACAACTGCAAACCTCTGGAGATTTCAGCGGAATAGCAAATCTTGCCTAATACCCCCGTGTCCGCTCCTTGCTTCAGATTTGCAGCTCCTTTGGTGAAGGACACAGCTGGGCTGTGATTTTACAGATAAACCAGATTAAGCAGCAAAAAGGAATGCAGGATGGAAGCACTCTGTTTTTTCCACCTTGCAGGACTTACTGAAACGAGCCTGGCTTTACGAAACATGAGATAAAGCTCCCACGGGGAGCGTTAGTCCGAGTGATTCATATAAACAAAGAAATCGGTCTTGGTCGAGCTTCCTAGGCGAATAAGGTGGGTAATGGTACGCAACCAGCAGAGCCCCTCTCCTTTGGAGAGCACTGCTGATAGAAGCCTAACTGTCACTTACCCTCACTGGGAAGCAGCAGGATGAGTCCTGGGTAGCAACGGGTAACCCGAGGTTTGGGTAACTCTTTCACATGAGGAATTGCGCGTGTCTTTTCTGTGGCACTGCCTGGTGCTGCGAAACATTCTCCGTCTGCGTCCTTGATGTGGGCCATCTGGAAAGGAAAATCTCATCAGCCTCTAGAAATGCAGCCAGGTTTACGATCACTTTCTTTTGCAGTTGACTTTCAAGGGAGATCATCTCACCAGGAGGAGGCCTGAAGGAAAGGCGAGTTGCAGGTATGTGCGTTTAGGAGTCGCTTTCTTGCCCTCCGGTCTGCACCGCCCGGTTTTCAGCAGCTGTTGCTTAAACCCATCATCCTTCCCGTCAGCTTTTTGCTTCCAGCCACAGGCTCCGCGCGGTCCCGACCTCGACGCCGGTGCTGCGGCACACCGCCGGGAACGGCTGCGGGGTGTAACGACCAGCGGTCACGGGCCGGGGGGGAGGGTTCCCCTGCCGTAATACCGACCTCTCCTCTCCGCCAGCTGAAATAAAGCCACGGGCTGGAGCACCCGCCCGCACGGCGTCTTTCCTGGGGGCCTCTCTCGGGGCACCGCTCCCCTCAGCTTGCTCCGGGCCCTGGCTGCCCCCCGGCAGGCAGCTCCCCGTCGCAGCGGTGCTGCTGGCCCCGGGAGCAGCCCCGGCTCCCGCCGGAGCCGACACAGAGCGTGTCGGTCAGCGTGCACGGCCAAGCTGCCGCAGCACTTCCAGATGTGAAGCGGGGGGAGCCGGTTTTAGCCCGTTTTTCAGATCTTTTTAATTCATTCTGATTTTTTCTTTTCTTTTTATTTTTTTTTTAAAGCACACTGCGAACCATTCGTACTGTTCGCTTGCATTCAACTGCGTGTTTCCAGAGGCAGCTGCTCAGCATTTTTCTAGCTGAGACATTCTGACCGAAGCCCCACCTGTGCGCGGAGGCAGGTCAGCAGCGGAGATCTCTTCCACTGAAATCCAGGTGAAAACTATCCCAAGCCCACCCTGTCCCACGCGTGACCCCTGCCCTCAGCCTCCAGGGTAATCCCCCCCCTGACAGGCCACTCCATGCACTGAGGAAGGGCAATGCCTACACTCACGCAACCAGGAGGCAAAATTCCCCTGAAACTTTGGGGAGTTTGGACTGAATAAGGACTGTGCAATTACAGCCGACCAGGGTGGCGAGGAGTGCTCCGAGGGGGCGTTATTGCTGAGTAACCCCCCATCCGCATGGGCACTCGGGAGGAAGGACAGAGGCTGCTGGCAAGTCACACTGGGTATTTATTTCTCCAGGGAAGCAAGAGCTTGGAGCTAAGCCTCGACCTCCCTCTCAGCACACTCCACCGGTGCTTCAGCTTCTCCCGAACTTGCATCTTTTCCTCAGCTTTTCCCTGCCTGTAGTTTCAAGCAACCTCCTTAGCAAACCCTGCAGCGTTTTCCGGGGAATTAAACATGATTGTGAGAGAGGATTAAGCTGTGAGAGGAACTAAAGAAACCTCCAGTGCTGCCTGTCGATGCTTCATTTCAGGTGATAAGGAATGAGTGTGATGATGACCTGGTTTCTGCTGCTACTTCTCCTGATCAGCTTTGGCTCTCCTGCACCCAGGTTTTCGGTGTGTATCTTTTAGCTAGCGTCTGTTCAACTTCTCAAGGGTTTAGTATTCCCAGCCTTGTAGAGACAGGCGTTCCCCCACAAGAGGGATGGAGACCTGCAAGAGCAGAGTAAAAAGGCATCTGCCTGCAGATAAAGGAAGGTCACTCTTACTGTTCTGGTAATGTAGGTTTTTCATGGCATTAGGGGCTGTGCAGCTCTCTGGGTGGCTGGAATGACATTGCCAAGAATTAAAAACAAGAACAACAACAAAAGCCTTTTTTTTAAAAAAAAAAAAAAAAAAAAAGTAATTGTATGGCCAGTGAAGAAATACTCCACTCCTTTCCCTCGGGGAGAGCTGCCTTCATTTATTCACTGTGATTTAAAAAGCGGGAAGGGGAAGAGGAGGAGGGCGTAGAGTGAGGCAGTCCGTGCTCTTCTGAGGAGCGCGCTTCTCGTGGGCCATCCCAGCAGGGTACAGAGCTCGGCAAGGGGCGTTTGGTGAGCACGGGGGCTGTCTGCAGCAGGTCCCCGTGGGCCTCCAGCCTAGAAATCCTCCTCTGGGGAGGAAAACCAGCAGGCACAGGAGAAGGAAGAGGCACCTGGGAGGCCACACTTGAGCACGCTCGGCAGCCTGCTGTCATGGGCCGCTGCTTGGTTTGCTTGTGCTTAGAACTGGCCCTGACCGGGTATCACCCAAGGCAGCTTGCTCAGAGCGAAAGTGATTCTTATTGCACAGGTTTGCGTGGGTGTCTTGGGAGAGATTTTACTCTGTTTTGTTATGTTTTTAATGGAATAACACCAGCCACAGACTAGACTGTTGCTGAAAATACTTATCCAAGCCAGTGGGGGTCAGATGCTGGTCTTGGTTACGATAACGCAGCTCTGAAGTTATACCACTCACTGCTTTCTGCTGATTTGTGCCAAATATCAGCTCTTTTTTCTTCCAGTTTTACAAGATGTTTCTAGAACCTCAATGATTTGGCCTGGCTGCAGTGCAAGAGCTGAGTTTTCCCCCTCTTACTACCCTGAGCAGTTCCCTAGTCTGCAAACACTCCCCTTGACCTCATTAAAGGGGACTCGAGACAAATTATTTGTGTCCAAAGTAATTTTTTGCGCATCTGATCGTATTCTGGGGTACTCCGGGCAGTGGCAAGGTCACTGCAGAAAACCCTTTTCCACGGGGTTCAACTTAACAGCCCATGTTGTGCAAGGTTTGTATGTCTTAAGAAGAGACCACCATCGAATTGCCCTGATCCAGAGAGGCAGTGTGGCGTGGTAGGGTCAAGAGGAGACAGATACTCCTCTCTCTGCCTCTCTGTGCTGACCACTGACTGAAGCACGGGGGGGGGGGTGATGTTTGTTTTATTTTCTCCACAGGAAAAAGATATCTGCCTCCTAGACAACAATAAATTAAGACAAAGGTTAAAACATCTCCAAGACTTGCTTTACTTATATGAACTGCAGCTGAAGGACATCCTGGAGAACACTTACCACAGAACAAAAAGTGGGCTGTTCTCAGGCAACAGGAGTGTGCAGCATGAGACGCTCTTGCCCACAACCAGTGGAAATTTGATAGTCTATGACCAAGGTACAGTTTGCAGCAGTGTTTGCGGAAATTTCAGCTTGCCACAATGTTTTGTTTTTTTTTTTTTTTTTTCCCTGCAGCGTCCCGTGTGCCATATTTTATTTCTGGTACAAGTTTTACAATTTTTAAAGTGGATTGTGCTTTAAAATGCAGTTAGATACATGGGAAGGGGAAGGGCAGACTGGTGGCCCTGGTGCCAGCAGAAATCCCTCCGGCCCAGCTTTAGGCAGCTGCCACCCAGGTACCACACAGATACCTGCAGCTGGGCTCCTCGCCTGGCACTCCGGTGCAGAGAGGCACAAGCACCTCTCCAGTGTTTTCCATCAGACCTACTGGAGACATCTGCTTTAGTCAGAGACGGGTCTTGCTCTTGAAGAGCCCGTTTCTCCTGAGCGACTGAGAGGAGCCCGGGGCGCCTGGCTCGGCTGCAGGCACTGGAGCCTGTTTGGAGGAGTCCAGCCCCGCTGTTCTTCAGCTCCTCCATCACTTCTGCCGTGCAGCAGCAGGCATGCATACTCTGCTCCCTGCTGTCGCTCTGAGAGCACCGTCATAACTGGGATTGTGGCCTGTGGCCAAGACTTTATCTTTCCTGGGCATTACGCTGAAATTGGGGAGAACTGAGGTCCTGAAAGGCACTCTTCTGATACAGCCCCGGTAGAGCTGGTCGCAGGGCCTTAGCCTCTTATTTTAGAAATTCTGGGCCCCAATCCAATCGGAAGTATAGCTGAGGTTGCTTCCCACGTGGAAGTTACCCTCCCTGCAGATGATCCCGCTGACAGCCGATCCCGGGCCTGCCTCGCTGCCGTGCTACAGCCCCAGCCTGAGCTGCAGCCATCCCGTGTCTCACCACACGTCTGAGACCGAGTCCCTCCGGAGGCATGGCTGTAAGAGCTCTCAAGCCCTGCCGCTCTTTGCCAGCCCCAGAAGTTTGCAATCCAGCAGCACTACACCCCCCCCCCCCGACCCATTTGCTTTGCCCTCGCCGGGCTTGCAGAGCCGTACGCAGCCTGGCCAAGTGTCCCGGTCCCACGCAGATCTCCCGGCGGGGTCTTCTCCCGGCTCCGCACAACCCTTTGCTTTCCCCTGCCCCCAGCCCCATTTAACAGACCGAAACCATTCTGCCTAGACTGCTCCGCAGTGTATAATCGGAAGAAGACCCAACCCGGCTACTACCGGATCAGGCCCCGGGCAGACCGTGAGCCCTTCCTGGCGTACTGTGACATGTCTGACGGCGGCGGGTGGACCGTCATTCAGCGGCGGAGTCACGGCAGGGAGAATTTCAACAGGTGGGTGCAGGCACGGTGGCACCGGCCGGGCTTTGCCGTCGGGCCTCCAGCTCCACAGCCCCGGCCCCGCCGCCCGGCAGAACCCCGCGCCCGAGATGCGCGGTGCGCAGCAGCTCGCTTCAGCGGCCGTAACTCCTCCCGCTGGGACACGTATTGCTGGCAGGAGGCTATCTTCCAGACGGACGTAAACGCCTTGCCCGTGGCTCCTCCGCGTTTGGATAAGCGCGCGCGCGCGCGCGCGTGTTATTTTTATCATTATTGGAGGCTAACAGAGGCTCTCGGTTGGCGGGTGTGGGCTGCCAGCGCGTAGGCTGAGACCTGCTGAGCGTATGATCTGCTCTCGTACCAGCAGTTCCGTTCAGCATGGTGTCGCGTTGATTTTGTTATTCGAAAAGATGCCAAACCACTGGTCCGGATTGTCCTTTCTCTATGAAAACCCCAGAGAGGCCACTTTCACCTAGAAATCTCCAAGAGGAGATGCGCTCTGGTAGCACGGTGAGGAAGAAACGTCTCTGTGGAGCTTAATTCACCGTGGGAGCACACACAGTTTCAGGGCATGTCTGGTGGTTTTTCCAGAGAGTGCAGCCCCTTGCAAAGCTGCCTCACCTGGCTCTAAGCTGGCTCGCCCAGAGCGTGGTAGCTATCCAGCCAGGCTAGTTCCGCTCTCAGCACAGGTGAGTGAAAAGCATCCTGAGGAGAAGCACTGACTGACACGTAGGTCAAGCAGAATAATATCCCTAATAACAGCATGAGGAAGGGAATAAATGCGGGGTTAGTAAAACTGGAAATTATTATACAGAGGAAGTATATGTGAATATCAAAGATAATACATAAATAACGGAGGAGATTTTAAGAGAATGAAATGATGAGAAGAAAGTAACAGCAGGAGATTTCTCTTAGAAAGATGAAGCCAGAGAATTCTGATGAAAAGTAAGTATATATCTCTGAAGAACAAGCTGCCACATCCAAACAGTGATCCTGCAAAAAAGCAGAGGTGAGAGTGGTTGATGAATCGAAAGCAGATGAGCACAAAGCAAAGCCAGATGTTTTCCTTTTAACTTCATCTGGAAGCTTTTGTTTGCAGCCTCTATTCAGTTTCTGATTCTTGACCATGCCACATCATCCATCCAGGCTTGACCATGCCACATCATCCATCCAGGCTTGCAGCGTATTTTAGACTGCAACAATCATTTCCAGCCAGGAGTGCATTTGAGTTACGACTTGCAGAAGAACAGTATCAGATGCTGTGCTGAACACCAATACGACAGCTGCTGCTTTTCCTTCCCATCAAACTGACAACCTCATTCTGCGAGCACCGCATCTGGCAGTTTGAAGGTTTGATCCCAGTACATGTGGGTGCCTGGGTCTAGCAGGAGAAGAAAGCCACGGTTTGTATTTACTTCTAACACAGACTGACAAATCTCAGCTGAGCTTGGGATGAATCGGGTACTTTCAGAAAACAGGGTCTAGAGATACAGATGAAGTTTGACTTGTTACCACAGTCAAATGTCACAAACTGTCTAATTCCCTCACACACTGAAATGGCCATTTGTGTCTCACTGCAGGAAATGGGATGATTACAAACTGGGATTTGGAAAATTCCAGGGCAAGAATGATGAATACTGGCTGGGCAATGACCACATCTATGACCTGCTCGCTAGAGGTGCAAGTATTTTCCCTCCACAGATTTCTTTCCAATTTGCATGCAATAGTTCATCTAACAGGACAGCACTTTGTGTTTAGGAGAGAGCTCACTAAAGATTGACCTGATGGACTGGCATGGGGAAAGACGTTATGCAATCTATGAAAACTTCCAGCTTGCAAATGAGCAGGTAAAAAATTGAGAGAGTGACAATTTGCTTGGTTTTTTTTTTCTGTGAGGGTGAGGTATCTGCATATCCTAGAATGATAGAACGGTTTGGGTTGGAAGGGACCTTACAGACCATCTAGTTCCACCCCCCTGCCCCGGGCAGGGCCCCCTTCCCCCAGCCCAGGGGGCTCCCAGCCCCGTCCAACCTGGCCTTGAACCCTTCCAGGGAGGGGGCAGCCACAGCTGCTCTGGGCACCCTGGGCCAGCGCCTCCCCCCCCGCACATTAAAGGATTTCTTCCTCATATCTGATCTAAATCTCCCCTCTTTCAGTTTAAAACCACCACCCCTCACCCTGTCACTGCACCCCCTGACCCAGAGTCCCCCCCCACCTCTCCTGCCCCCCCTTTAAGCCCTGGGAGGCCGCTCGAAGGGCTCCCCGGAGCCTTCTCTTCTTCAGGCTGAACCCCCCCAACTCTCTCAGCCCGGCCCCCCAGGGGAGCTGCTCCAGCCCCCCCAGCATCTCCGTGGCCTCCTCTGGCCCCACTTGAGCAGGTCCATGTCTTTCTCATACCGGAGGCCCCAGAGCTGGATGCAGCACTCCAGACTGGGTCTCACAAGAGCAGAGGGGGAGAATCCCCTCCCTTGACCTGCTGGCCATGCTTCTCTTGGTGCAGCCCAGGATACCACTGGCCTACTGTGCTGCAAACACACATTGCTGGCTCATACTCGTTTTTCCATCCACTAATGCCCCCAAGTCCTCCTCTGCAGGGCTGCTCTCTGCCCACTCTCCTCCCAGCCTGGGTTTGTGCTGGGGATCGCCCCGACCCCCAGGCAGGACCTTGCCCTTGGCCTTGCTGAACTCCATGAGGTTCGCACGGGCCCCCCTCTCCCGCCTGCCCAGGCCCCCCTGGATGCCACCCCTGCCCTCGGCGTGTCCCCCACCACACAGCTCGGGGTCGTCGGCACACTTGCTGAGGGTGCATCGATCCCACTGCCCATGTCACCAATGTGCAGCATCAGACTTTAGTATCTATCAGGGTTGTGATTACAGATCTGCAAATTTACCTACTTGGACACCGCTTGGCACAGTGTCCTGCCAAATTGTTCTTGATGAGCTAGGAAGAGTCTTCCAACTTGTTGTACAGCGTATCAAATGGTTATTGAAAGACAATAAAGCCTGAAGCCCCTTGTAGCAGCAGCAGTAATTAGCAATCCCTTCTGGAAGTTTATATCCCGTACTGATCTGGGACCATTAAAGTATGGGGCCAAAAGTCACCCTTGACTTCAACAGTCATGCCTTTGGCAGTGGGTACAATGGCCAGAGCAAATTTGATTTTAAAAATGGGAGAAAGGGCAGAAAGAGCTGGTATCAAAGACATGTTTTGCATATTCTTGCAGGAAAATTACAGGTTATGGTTTGGCACCTATTCTGGCAACGCTGGCGACGCTCTGTCTGGTGGGAGCAGTTTTGAAGATCAGTGGTCAGCCTCTCACAGAGGGATGCAGTTCACCACATCTGATAAGGATCACGATCGATTCCTGGCAGGCAACTGTGCATCAGAGAACAAGGGCGGCTGGTGGTTTAACAGGTATGGAAAAGAGCTGATTCCTCTCAGGGGCCCAGGGTGTGGGTGGCTATACAGCCCAGAGGACTTGCCTGCCTTACGGCAGCTGGAGGTTGCTGTGTGCGCTTGCCATCTCACACAGCCAAACCGAAGACGTCCACACCTACAGATCCTCAAAGGAAAGCAATCTGCTTCTTTCGTTACGAAGCAAAGCAGGTAAGTTGCATTCATTTGAAGAAAATGGGCCAGAATAAATGCAGAGAGGGGAGTAACCTGGAAGGAAAAGACCCCAGTCAAAATCCCTTAAAGTGCTTTGGGTTATATCCCAGGAAAGAAAACAACTGGAAGGTGCAGCGTGTGCAAAGGCCACTTCCCTGCTGTGGAGCACGTCCAGGGGATGAGCTACCCCTTAAGAGTCCTGACAGTATGTTAGCTGGTTGGGCCAACGGACAGGGACTCAGGGTCACCGGTCCTGGGAGCGGAGACACGCGGCTCTCAGTTTTTCTCGCTTTAGTGCAGGATAAGCCTCTTCTTTGACCAGGCCCTCGTCCCGTGCAAACTGAAATCGGTGGAGCTACAAAAATGTACACCAGTAGTGGGATTTACCTGGATTAAGACATCTGCATTTTTAGGTGTCGGTAGGAAGCTGCCCACACTTGAGCTAGAGCCTACCAAATGGCCCTACACTCCCCACCCCTGCGCCTCTGTTTAGCAGCTGAATCATGTCCCTAGTTAATACACTTGAAGGAGTCAACAGGTTGAATTATCTGACCGGTGTAGGTGTCTACTTTCGGACGACCGACATGCTCCTCTGGGTTCCACTAAAGGCATTAGCCAGCTCTCCATAGGCTATTGTAGGACTTCAGATAACCAGCACAGACAGGTAGATCTAGGTGTCTGAATTTGTCAGTGAATCCCGCCCCAGTATTTCTAAATGTGTGTTGTGTGGAAATTGAACTTCACTGTAATGGTGCAATCCCCATGCTAAACCTGATCTCCCTTTCTCCCTCCCCTACATGGTTACAAGGTGCCATGCCGTTAACCTCAACGGACAATACTACAGAACAGGAAGGTACAATGGATCCCACGACAGTGGCATAGTTTGGTCTACATGGCACGGGATGTGGTACTCGCTAAAATACTCGGCCATGAAAATCAGGGCTCCATTCTTTGTTGACAGCGAAAGCGGAGACGGTGAGAACAGTTAGGGCAGCTGAAACCTGCTGCTTCGGAAAGAAAAAAGCACAGGCTGAAGAGAATTGTGTAAGTTAACAGCCAGCCCCCTGCTGCTGCCAATCGCCAATCCTGCACTGCGATAATTGGAGTTGCACCTGTTTCTACTAGCTGAAGCTAATGTGATAAGTTGTTTGAGCGCAGCCAGCCAACAATTTAATGGAAAACATATGGATGTCAGTCATGGAATAACCAGTTTTCTTCCTCTGCAATTTTCAGGACTTCACTGGAGAGCGTTTATGAATCATAAAGCTCTCTGGAGCTTGAATGACCAAGCATGTTCCTTTAGCCTCCCTGTACTCTTCAAGGGCTGAATCTTCCTCATCTTGATTTTACGCGTCAGTGCTTCAGTTAAGAGAACACAGGAATAGAAACAACAAGGCGATGGGGAACGGGACGTCCCCCGGTGTGCCTTCGTCAGTGCTTTGCTCTGGATCAGGAGGACACTTTAAAGCATCCCTCCCCGTGGTCCCCAGCTGCCACACGTCAGCCGCAGGATGCTCCCGCAGCGCGTGACGCCGCATCGGCGGCCGGCCGTTCCCCAGCTGCGCACAGGCACCCAGACCGGGGCTCCTTCAGGGTGAACCCCCGCAGCGTGGACACTGTGGACACTGGGTTTCGTCGCCAAGAGCTTCCCGCTGCGGGCACGCCGCGACACACGAACGCAGCCGGAGACAACGCTGCTGCTGGCCAGACGCGCGCCCCGGGCTGAAATCAGGCAGATTTTACTGAACTCGAGCGCAGATATTCTCACGAGTTCGCAAAATGCGGTCACGGTTCGTTCGTATGTCCTCGTGTAACTTCCCAGATGACTTTGAGTTAGCGAAGGGGAACAAGAAAAGTGGAAAATAGCTGCGCCGTAAGGCACACTGCTTTCACTGGCTCATTGGAGTGAAACGCAAGAGCAACACAAGTGACTGAAAGAAATGGAATACTGAAAATTTATTTTCCACAAGTTGTTAATAACAACAGTTAAAAGTGAACGGTAATATCAGCTTGATGCAAATCATTTAACTACCATGTTGTAGAACGAGCCTATTTTTTTTCTGAATTACAGTCATTTTTTAAACTGGTAGTTCTTTTCCATTTACTTGCTTTTAGATCCATGCATATTGTAATTTGTACTATATATCCATAAAGGGTGAAATAAAACCATCCAAGTAGGACTTAACACTTTGTACCTGGTTTTCAACAGCCGGAACTTGAACAGAAATTTGGATTAAAATCTTGAGAAAGCTCATAATCCAAGAAATGCATTCTTTTGGTGTTGGCGCCTGCTGTCCTGGGTAGTTGAGAGGGTCTGCAAGGCAAGTTTAATTTCCACGGCTCAAGCTGTCCCAGAGACAATGCAGAGACATGTGAAGATTCAGTGTAAAACTTGGTATGGTTCCTCTGCTTTAGTCAAGAGGTAAACCCTGCTCTCACTTCTTCCTAGCCACCCCGGCCACTGCAGGTGTGAACACCGGAGCGCGATGGGCCAGCACTCCAGGGAGCCGTGCTCCTAAAGCCTCTGCCCCGGCACGGCCGCACCGCTGGCCTCCTCCCGAGCACTGCCACCTACCCACGTGGAACAAAACTTGCACCTACAGCTCTGATCCGAGGTTGCCCTTGTGAAGAAATGGCTGCAAACAGCCAGAACTTGCTGTTTCCTTCCTGATCCCTACTTCTGTATTTTGCTACGGTAAAAGCTTAGTGCAAAGTTGTAACTGCGTGTTGGGAACGTAGGGAACCCCTCTGCACTTGTTATAACCATGCGGCTGCTGATGCAGTGCTGAGGGCAGCAAGGACGATTTTTGTCTGGGCAGAAGGCACAGAGAAACGTGAGTGGAGTAAGTTAATGCCTTCTGGCAGACAACACGCCATCCCAGTATTCAGCAGAGGGCTAGGGAAGCAGGGTGAGAATTACAGACTGGTGATACTCAGCTCTGCATGCTGGAAATCAACTACCGCACCAAAGAGACACCACTAGTGATTTGACAGTTCGTTGTGCAGCCTGTAACCCGTCTGGTAATTGAGTATCAAGCCGGACACAAAATCAACAGGGCTTAGACAACTGCTACCCAGTCCAGTTCCCCTGGGAGTGAGCAGCGGGCGATGCGAAGCCCGGGGTACGGAGCCTGTGTCAACGCGGAGAGGCAGGCACTGTAGCTGGAGCCTTCAGCCAGCCCCGATGTGTTAACTGTGGGGTTTTTAACGTCTCTCAGAGAGAGAAAAAGGGACCAAGATCTGAAAAGCTGGGAGAGAAGGGGTCTGCCTTGCTGTCTTAGAGGTAAGATGTACCTAAGTCCTATCTGAAGCGTTACAGTCGCTGTTCTGGACGCAGCCCAACACTGAGACAAGGTCGGAGGAAGCAACATCTGGGTGAGAGCCAGGCTCCCCCTCCTCAGCCCTCCCGCGACACGGGAACCCCCTGGGAGACGCGGGGGGCACAGGGCTCTGCGCAGGACCCTGCAACTCCCACAGCAAACCCTAGGAAGTCTTTCAGAACCCTCTTGATCTTAGTAAGTGGGTAAAATGCCACCAGCTGAGTACTTATTCGACCCGAGGGCCCGCCGCCCTGCTCAAATCACTCCCACCCAAGGTTAGGGGAATGCCTGCCGAACGTGGCTGTGCTGCACATTCGGTCTCCTGTTTCCCCGGGGTCTCCCGTGCTGAGAGGCTCACCAAAGCTGCAAAGAGAGATTGCAGCCCTGTACTTCCAGTGCTGACAGATCGCTGCTCCAGGGCAAACGCGCTTCCCACAGCAGAGTTTACCCCAGCACAGGGGTGGTAAGTAACCTGAGCAGCAACTGCTTCAGAGGTCTCGTTTCCAGCTCACTTCAGTCAATTTAAAGACTCGTTACATTTGATTAGCTGTGGCCCAGCCCTCCAGCGCGGAGATGTTTCCCAACATTTTAACCAGCTCCTCAAGCTGAGAGGGCACGGGCAGGCGTGTCCGGTGCAAGCGCGGCGCCGGGCCGAAGGGCTGAACGCCGGTCGACGAGGCGGCGGTGCCGGCGCAGCTCCCGGGAAGAGGGAGCTCCCATCGCCCTGCCAGCAGGATTGCCCCGGCGCTCCGGCACCGGCTGCCACCCGGTACCCACCAAACGGGGAGGGTCCGGAGTCCGGCGGGCGAAGGCAGAGCGCGCCTGGCTCCTCCTGGGCCGCCGCAGCAAAGCCCCCTCCCCACCGCGTGCCCGGCACGGCAGCGGCTACGGCACAGCGACGCTGCTCCCCCTTTAAAACTGCCGTTGGTTTGGAGGAGGGGGGAGAGGAAAAAAAAAACAAAAACACAAAAAAAAAAAAACCCGCCTGGGGTTGGGAAAATCTCTCTTTCCGCTCGGAGAGCCGGCTTTGAGAAAGAGAGCAGCCTGCTCCCAGAGAACTGAGCACATGCGGATTTCTCCTCCGCACGCACCAGGCCGGTTAAAGGGCACAGAGGGTTCGGCCCCTTCTGGGAGAGTTGTTTTAAGGCCGACAGTCCTCTGCCTGAACCTACCTTCTCCCACTCCATCCTCCGCGGGCAGCACCTCCTCTGCTCCTGCTGTTGCCCAATAGCATTGCCCTGCTCTTCGCAAACTCCCCGAAGAGACGCTTATCCGGAAAAAATGGCAAGGAAAGTCTCTGAGTCACTCTCGCTGGCCCAAGCTCTGCCTCTGTAGTTATCTGGGGTTTCAACCCAGCTCTGAATACTTGCAGCAGTGCGTAACCGCCAATTTTTGATCTCTGGTTTTAAAGCACAACCGAAAAACCCAGCGTAACTTTCGTGCTTCACCATAAGATTTTCTGGGGATCACCAGATGTTGTCAAGCCGTTTTATGTTTTCTTTTTGCTTGCGAAGAAAGTATTCATCAAATAAATTCGTTGTTCACTGGTTTTGTTCATAATTTATTTTGAGCTTGCTGTAGTAGTAATATTGTCAATTTGTTTACATTAAAAAAAAATCAATAAAGGCAAATATGATTATGGAAATGACGGGTGATCCGATAGTTCTCTCACTGCCTTTTATAAGTGCTTAAATACTGCAGTAACATTTCTGTGAGGACTAAAATTTGAGCATCCCTTTTCCTTGTCCTCCCTTTGCCCTTTTCTACTCATTTCCTGCAAACATTTGTACATTACTGTTCTCTTGGTATAAATATTGGCAGAAAGAAAACATCAAAGTCTTGAATGATGAAAAATACCCCCTCAGTTTTAAATTCACTCCAAATATTCAGCATCAGTTGTTTGCACTTTCATGCACCCAGCTGAAAGAAGCACCACCATAGGACTTATTCGAGCAACTACAACAAATCAACACAGTTCAATAACGACTACCAGAAAAACGATGAAAACGGCTCACAACTCGAGGTCTCTGCTTTCTAAACGGGAGATGATTCACTAGTTGAGACAGATGGGTGAGGATACTGGACAACGGATGCTTTAGGACATCGTAATCTACTGGTACGCGGTCCGCAAGGTGAGAAAGGCTAGATCAGTGCCATTCATCACCTACGATGCCCGAAACGCCACTTTCTGCAGCAAAATATTGGCTATTCCAGCATCACGCCTTCACTAGCCCGTGCTTTCCCGGGGTATTTGGTGTGTGTTATACACACATGCATACAAAAAATAATGATATGGAAGCACTTTCCGGTAATTAGAAAGGCATGTGTTCCCACAAGCCAGACCTGGGGCGTTACTCCCTCCTGCTCTGTGCGGAGGTGACACGATTCCTGCTGCTCCTTCCCCCAGAAGCCGACAGGTCCTGGCAGATCCTCTCCGGCGCACGCCCCTCCTCCAGGGCCGCAGCGCGTCGCTCAGATCACCAGCTTCTCAATGCTTAAAGTACTTGTTTCATCCTCTTCGTTTGAGCCAAAATACCCTGGGAGGTCGACCATCTGCTGCTCTGCCTCCGTTAAGCCAAAAGTAGTATTATCGTAAAACGCAAACTCAGGGTCCAAGGGGAAGCTCTGGCACTTGTCCCTCCGGTACTGGGCAGGGCTCACACTTAGGCCTCTCTGGGAATTATCTTTGCCAGTTGAGCCCGTTTCCTTCCGCCACGCGCCTCTGGGGTTGGGTGAAGGGCCCCTCTTGCTTCGGCCGGGCTCAGGCTTCTCAGCCGCCTTCTCCTGGCCGGGGGGCTGGCGGTCAGTGGCCAGGTCCAGCTTCCTGGCCGGGGGACCTGCCCTGTGGTGGCCCTTGGTGCCATGGCCCTGAGGTTCACACCCCGGCACGGCGCTGTGGGGCTGATCCGGCTTTTCACAAGCTGGATTCACGTTCCTCGGTTTTGGCCGCGTCCTGTCCTCCAAGCCCTGGTCCCACGTTCTGGTCCTGGAGCTGTAGAGAGGGGTCTGTCGGGGGGTAAGGGTGGACATGCTTCTCTCTCTGAAAGGCCTGGCCTTTTTAGTTTCGTGGAAGCTGGCTGTTCTTCTAAACTGTGGGTTTCTGTGGCAGCCCCTCTCGGACAGGTCCCCTCTGTTATCCTGGTGCTTGAGATGAGACCTTCTTACCAAGGTCTGGGTAGGGCTCATTGCAGGATTGGCCTGCGAGAACGGAAAGTCCAGCCTAGGGTGAGAGCTCTCCCCCAGAAATTTGGGCTGACTGGCTGGCGGGTCCAGAAATGGAGATTTGATCCTAAATTTGTTTGCTGCTGCCTCCTCTTGGTTTTCTGCGCTCAGGGGAAGCATCGTGGTAGCACCAACCACCGTGTCCGTGAGGGGATTCTGAGAGACGTGGTACACCTTGGTGGTCTCAGTCAGGCCCTTCTTCTTCATCTCTTTCAGCTGCTGCTGTGCCAGGCGGTAGCTGAAAATCGGAGGGATTATTTTTTGGGCGTTTG